GGGCGACCGGGTAGTCGGCCGGCGGGGGGCGCCGGTGGCTCGCGGGCCGACATGTGTGCCGATCCGGGATCGCGGTCTCACGCACAGGCGGCTCCTCCGCGGGCTCGGACAAACTGGCAAAGGGGCTCCCAGTAGGGAGGATGCGGGGGGTGGGATGTCATCCTGGCGCGGCGCGCGTGCGCGAAGGTGGGGCAGCGGCGGCGGCGGCAGCGGCGACGGCGGGACGCGGAAAGCAACGAGAGGGGTATTGTGGGGGGAGGGAGGATCTGCACCCGCCTGGGGGAGAGGCGGCGAAGCCCCCGGCCATCGCGGGGTCCCTTTAAAAGCCGGACCCTCCGGGCCGCCGGGGGGTGGCCACCGCGTTGGGCGCACGCGCAAGCGCCGATCACTCGGCTGACTTGGGCCGATCACGGGCTTCTCGGTATGGTGCCAATGAATGCGCGGGTCCCAGCGGACAGGGTGGGGTTGGGGGGCCCGGCCGCCGTCCTTCGCGGCCGGCCCTGGGTGCAGGGCCACTGCGCTCCGTGCATTCGGGGCCACCAAGGAGGGAAAGACGTTCGACAGAGGCCGCGGGGGTCGGCGAGCCGCCAGCCGATGATGCGCGCTGGCCTCGGAGTGCCTTTTGCCGGGGCGCGGTTGTCGGCCTCATGTGCCGCTGGCTGTTTCCTGGCGACTCGGGTCTCTAACGGAAAATGACCCGAACGGGGAGGGTGGGAAGGGGGGGGGCAGCATGTTATTGTTTGTTTCTGCGGGGCCAGAGGCCGGGGGCCGGGGGCAGGGCTCTCGCCCCCGCGCCCGGCGCTTTTTCGGACCCGGCATGGCTGCGCCTGGGGGGTGCTCAGGCGCGAGCACCCCTCACCAGCCCTGTCGCACTATCTTCCCCTTCCTGCCCTGTCGCCCCCCCCCCCCCTGCCATCTCCTCCCTCCCCTCACTTGCCCTTCGCTTGCCCCCCCCCTCCCCCCTCCGGCTTTCTCGCGCCTCCTCTCCCTCTGGCGCAGCCGCACCAGCCGCACCAGCCGCACCAGGCCCTCCTCCCCCCGCCATGGAGCAGGCGGTCAAGACCCCCTCGCTGGCTCTGGATGCGGAGGCCGCGCTGACGGCCCTCCCCGGGCCGAGCGGCCCCGGCGGCCCCTGGTCCAGTCTGGTGCCGGACGGCCGGCGGCTGTTGGTCATCTTCGACCCGGTGCCGGCGGCCAACGACCGTCTCACTCCGGCGCAGGTGTTCGAGCAGCAGATCATCTTCGCCTGGCCGAACGAGGTGAGCCCCTTCACGCGCGCGGCCTTCCGCCCGCCTCTCTCTCCCCCCCCCCTCTCGCTACCTCTCCCTCGGGCCTCCCTCCCTCCATGCAAGCCCTCGGCGCCACTCTGACCTCCCTGTCTCTCTCCCCCCCCCCCCCCCTTTCGCAGTACCTCACCAACCAGGATCAGCTCCTGCTGGCCGGCCTGGTGAGCGGCCTCGACGCGGTGGGCTACTTCCTGGCCAGCTCCAATCTGGATCACATGGCCATGAGCAGTGACTGTGTGGTGATGCGCAAGCTCGGGGACTTTGACACGGCCTTCCTGGATCGCGAGCAGGCCACCCCGCCCCGGGGCCCGGCCAAGCAGACGGACGTCGGGCGGCAGATTTGCTTGCAGCAGCTGCTCGGGCCGCCGGCCCCGCCGACCGTGCACGCCGAGGCCGAGATGGAGCCGGTCCTGGACACGCAGCTGGTGGCGGTGCTGGTGGGCCAGCACCATGGTGCGCCGATCGAGTCGGTGGCCGCCACCCTGCGCACGGAGCTTCACCGGATCTTGACGGCTCTGCGCTTTGCGGTCGGGCCGCTGAACCACCTGCGCCGGCTGTGTGGCCTGCGCGTGGAGGGGCTCTTCGATGAGTTTGATCGGCAGCCGGAGGAGGCCGCCTCCGCCGGCGGAGCGGCCGCCCTCCCCGAGGCCGATATCTCCTCCTCCTCCTCCTCCAGTCCGCCCCTCTCGGCCGAGGAGCTGGATATCGTGACCAAGTACCATTCGCGCAAGCGCGACAAGTGGCCCACCTCCAATGAGGCCTTCCGGGATGCCCTTCGTCGGACCCTCAGCACCACGGCTGTGCCCATCCTCCAGACCCTATCGGGCTCGGTGTTCCCGGTCCTCGGCGACGGTGCCACCATCAAGGTTTCGCCAGACACGGTGCGCTCCTGGATCCATCCTCCCTGCCGCCCCGCCGGCTGCGGTACCCCACACGGGGTCCATTGCCACGGGGCTGCTCTTTTCCCGGGTCCCTCCGCGCCGCCGCCGCCGCCGCCGCCGCCGCCGCCGCCGCCGCCGCCATCACCACCACTGCCAGTGCCGCCCTTCGGCTGACCCCCCCCCCTCTCTCTCCCCCCCCCCCTCCAATATGCGGTCCACTCCTTCCTTCTTGTGCAGATCCCCCCGGGCGTTCTTCTTCGGTCGAACTCCCTGATCGAGACAATCCTCTCTGAGCGGGGGAACCTCTCGGCGGCGCTCTTTTTGGTGGAGCGTACGCCGACCAATCCGCCGGGCTTCCGGCCAGACGACCCGGCCTCCCTGCTTCCGCGGCTGTACGGCCAGCAGGGCCAGGCCAACTGCCCGATGGCGACGTCTCTTTCGCCGGATGTGGCGCTTGCGGCGTCTACTTCCCCCGGGGCCGGTGTCTTTGCCGCCTCGCATCGCTACTCCCCAGGACAGCTCCTATCCGGCCGGATGACCCCCTCCCTGACCAGCCTCCTGTCGCATCTAATTCCGCAGGGGGCCGCGCTGGCGGCCTCTGACTCGGTGCGTTTCCCCCCCCCCCCCCTCCTTCCCCCTTGGCCCCCTGTTCAAGTGCCATCCGCCTCCTTTTGCCACAGTGCCCTCTCTCAACACTGTGCCCTCTCTTGCCATTGTGCCTTCCCCCCCCCCCCCTCCCCCCCGCTGACTCCCATCCTTTCTCGCTGTCCCTATCTGCCCTCCTCCTTCCCCTGCCAGCATTCCGGGCCTCGAGCGCCCCTGTTCGAGGATCTGCAGTTTGTCTTCCTCGATGCACAGGATCGCATGCAGCTTGGCCTGTACCCGTCGTCCGAGGCGATGGCCGGGGCGCCCACTTCGGAGAAGGACTTCTATGCGTCTCCACCGGCCGTGACCACCCCGTCCGGCTTCCGGCCGTCGGTCTTCAGCCCGAATGCCCAGCTGTCACGCTACCCGGCCGACCGGCCGCCCCTGCGCATCCTCAACCCGGAGTATCTGTACCTTTGCCCACCGGCCACCCCGGCGGCTGGAGCCTACGCCGGGATTTACTGGCTGGTGGTGGATGTGAATCCGGGCGATCGGCGCAGTCAAGCCCTGGCACCGGATCGCCTCCTGGCTCTGGCGGTTATCCTGCAGCCGGCGTCGGTTTACGAGCCGGACAGCCTGAACTATGTGGTGCGTGTCCTGCCATGCCCCAGTTCCTGCCGGCCATTGTGCTGCCTCCTTTTTTGTCCCTCCTTCCGCGGGATACCGCAGCTCCTCGTTTGATCTCCCTGCTGACTTGGATCTCTCCGCCTCTCTCCGCCTCTCTCCGTCTCTCTCCGTCTCTCTCCGCCTCTCTCCGCCTCTCTCCGCCTCTCTCCGCCTCTCTCTCTCTCTCTCTCTTCCTTCCCATCTATCTATCCTTCTCTTCTCTTCGCCCTCCCGCCCTCTCACGCGGAAATGCAGCGCGCCATCGCGCAAGAGCAGCTGCCCGACCTGGCAGCCAGCCTGAGCCGGGCCTTCAGCGTGGACCAGTTCCACTCGCTCAAATCGATTGTGGCCTCGCGTGGGGCGGACCGAGGGCCGGGGCCGGCTGCCATGCCGACCCCAGCCCCGGCGCCTCTGGGCGGCCTCCACGGGATCCCGTCGCTGCTGCAGAATCACCTTTTTGCACAGGACACCTCCTTCTACATGTCGGACCTGAATGTCCTGCACTACAACCGACACCTGGGGCTGTATGCTGAGCACCTGGTCACCCCGGCCAATGCCATCCGCCTGCCCGGGTCGCCGCCGCTGAGCCCGGCCCTGGTGTGCCCGGTCCCCAGTCGAGCCGATGCCTGGACGCACGCGGCCCAGGAGATTCGCTTCCGGTTCGGCGCGCAGGCGGCCTTTCACCAGCTGATGGAGCGCTCGCGCGAGCACCACCGGTATGCCTGCCTGCCGGATCAGCGGGCATCGGCGCACCCTCTCAGTCGGGTGCGGCTGGAGGCCGAGCAGCCGGCCGACGCCGAGGTCCTGGCCACCCTGCTGGACTGGGAGGAGTTCGGGGGCTTCTCCTCGGACGATGGGCTCTACTCGGAGACCGTGGACTCGGATGACGAGTTTTTCCTCCCCCACTTCGACCGAGCACCCGGCCTGGATGAGGCCGAGGCCGAGGCCGAGGCCGAGGCCGAGGCGGAAGCAGGGCCGGAGCAGGCACCGGTCGAGGGGGCAGGTGCCGAGGAAGCCGGCCCGGCGGCCTCGCTGCGACAGCGTCTCCAGAAGGGCCTGGACCCGGTCCGGGCTGTGGAGGCTCTGTCTGGCGCGCCGGCCTCCCTGTGGACATCCCCGCTGCCGATCGCCTGGTCGGCGCCCTTCGACCCGGAAGCCGGCGCATGCTCCGAGTGTGCCGGGCTTGTGGGTCCTGGTCCTGATGCGGGTGATCCCGACGCCGAGCCGGGCCCCGATCCGGGGGCCGCACACTGGCCGGCGCCGGCTTCCGGCTCGGCTGTCTGTGCCCATGCGGGCATCCGCCTGACCATGCGCCCGGTGGCCGAGCTGGCGGCCGCCTCCCCGGCCCCGGGGGCTGGCGACTCCCCGGGGGCCGAGCTGAATGTCTCGCGTCTGGGGGCCCAGCAGTTGATCCTCTACGATCACACGGGTGTGCTCTTCTCCCGCCGGTCGTTGGACCAGCTGACGGTCATCCACAAGCCCAGCCGCTGCGGGCACATCCTGGCGCCCCTGCACTTTTCCGGCATGCAGCGTCTCCAGTCGGCGTCGAATTCCTTCTTGCCGCTGGCGGCGCTGGCCGGCGAAACGAGCCCCGCGCGGTTGGCCCTGTCGGCGGCCCACTCGGCGGCCCAGCTGGCCCTGCTGCAGCTGTACCTGCCAATCATCGAGATGGAGGCTGACAATACCTTTGGCGATACCGACGAGCCGGAGGCGGATCCCTTCTTCGAGGCCGAGCAGGCGGCCACCTGGCCGCGCTTCCAGATTGCCCTGCAGAGCCTGATGGCCGGTGTGACTGCGGTCCCGGCTCCGGGGTTTGAGCAGCTCACCTGGGGACACCCGGAGTTTTCCCCCTCCGCCAGCGCGACATCCATGCTGGCGGCCAGTGCGGCGGCCGCCGGGTCCACGGTGGCCAGCGGGGCCGGGGTCTCCGGAGCAGCCGGGCCCGGCACCTCGGGGGCCGGGGCTTCCGGGGCCGGGTCGGCCGGTCGGCCGGCCACCCCGGCGGCCGGCCCGGCCGTGGCCGTGGCTGTGGCCCAGGCTGCGGCCGTGGCGGCCGGGGCCACCGGGGCCGGCGGCTCGCTCGGCGGGGCTGGCACTCCGCCCGGCTCGCTGGCCGGGGCCGGGGGAGCCGCCGATGACGATCTCTCGCGGACCATTTACGCCTTCTATGCATCCTCCACGCAGCCGACCCTGGTCACGGCGGGAGCCGGGCGGGGGGGCCACGCGCGGCGGGCCTCCGCCGCAGCCATGGCAGCGGCCGCCGCCGGGGCCTCCGGCATCTTCCCGCCTGATGCGCCGGGCTACCAGCTGGCTGGCGGCAGCCCCGGGGCCGGTGGCAGTCCTGGCTCCGGGCCCAGCGCCGGGGGCATGCATCACCCATCGGCCGGCCGGCCGGGCTTGGCCTATCCCCCGGCCCCGGGGTCGCCGCAGTCCGGCCGCGGGGCCGGACCCGCCGGCGAGGCAGCCAGCCACGGCGGCGAGCGCGGCGGCTCGACGTCGGGGTATGATGGCGGCCCGGCGGGCCCGGGCGGTGGTCCCACCTCGCCGGCGCCCTCCTCCGGGATGTCCTCCGGCTCGGTGTCGGCCTTCAGTTCACCCGCCGGGAACATTGTTGGCCTGGCGCACTCGCCCTTCACCGGGGGGGTGCCTTTGCATCGGCTGGGCAGCCCGCCGGGGCTGGTGCCCGGGGCCCCGGGCTCCGGGGCCGGCCGGCCCGTACGGTCCCCCTCGGCCCAGCAGCTGGATGCCCTGCTGGCAGCCCACAACAGCGGCGGCGGCGGCGGCGGCGGTGGCGGGCCTGCCGATGACCCGGACCTCTCGCCCCCGAGCCACCCCGCGTCGCCGGGGTTTGTTCCCCCGCGCATGATCCAAGCGGTGATCGCCCTTTCCTCACCGCCGCCCCCTCGTGGGGGGATCTTCCGCCAGCTGGAGACGCCTCTGCAGCACCATCACAACCACCACTCGGGTCAGCCGCCGGCTCCGCCGGGCGGCCGGTGAGGCTTTTTATCCGGGCCCCGTCGCGCTTGATTCCCACTTGTACTCGACTGGCTCGCCTCCCGGCCGCCATCCCCACCCACTGCAATAGATGGTTGGCTGTGGCTCCATGTGGTCTATATTGTGACGGGGGGGTCGCTCTCGTGTCGGGCCGGCATGAGGCACCGGACAAACTCCCGCGGGAAGTAATCCAGCACCAGGATGCTCTCCAGGTCGTAGTAGCAATGTGTGAGGCCGGCGTCCAGGGCAGCCGAGAGGCCGGCCCCGGCTGGATGTTGTTGGTGCTGCTGCTGCTGCTGCTGCTGCTGTTGTTGTGGCTGCGGCTGCTGCGGCTGCTGCTGTACTTGCTCTTGCAGCTGGAGTTCCGGGGCCGGGGGTTTCGAGGCAGGCGGTGGGCCGAGGGGCCCTCCTGCGAGGACGTCGTCGGCCACTCCCTTCCAATAGATGACCATTCCCGGGCCAAAGCGCGAGAGATAGGGCCGGAGTTGCTCGGCCATGATGCGGTTGTGGGCATCCTGCGAGCCGAAGATGGCTTTTGACTCGATCCAGTTGACGGTGCAAGGGCCGACCACTGGGCAAATGGGGCGCGCGCGGGGGGGGGGCGAGCAGGAGGTTCACCGCAAGTGGCATGCCGAGGGAGAGGGGGAGGTAAGTTCCCGAGGGAAGTGCATGCTGGTGACCAGGGGCAGGCACAATCGACGGGGAGGAAGGAGGAGAAGCATATGCGCACTGATCGGCACCGAGAGGCGTATGTCCGGGGTCTTGGGGTAGCCAAGGTCGCGCATGCGAAACTCATCTGATCCAGTATGCGCATGTGTGTGTGTGTGTGTGTGTGTGTGTGTGTGTGTGTGTGTGTGTGTGTGTGTGTGTGTGTGTGTGTGTGTGTGTGTGTGTGTGTGTGTAAGTGGGTGAGTGTGTGTGTGTATATGCAAAAAAAGCAATAAATAGATATATGTCAGGATCTGCAAGCGCACATGCGCGGACAGGTGGACGAGGATATACGAAAGAGTCTGGGCGGCATAGAGCTGCAAAGATAAAGAGAGAGAGGGGGGAGAGAGAGAGAGACAGCAAGGGGGAGAAGAATGGCACGACCAGCGGAGTACGCACCAATGAAGGGGATGCCCAGAGCGGCAAGCTGCTGCCGGAGAAAAAATTCATAGCTCTCGCCCACCCGCAGGCGGAGGAACTCCAAGCGCGGGAGATTCAGCGACTGGTCCACCAAGCTGGCACAGTATTGGCTGATGCGCCAGAGAGCCTGGCAGGCCAGCAGCAGGACTTGCTCATCGGAGAGGGCAGCTGCCGTGGCCTTGGCCTCGGACAGGGCATGCCGAGCGGCGCCGGTGCTCGAACGCCAGGCCGAGAAGAGAACCCGGTGCAGGCGCCCCGGCGCCACCTGCAGGTGCATCCCCAGCTGGGTGAAGAGCCAACGGGCGCCGACAACCGCCGAGCATGAGTCTCCGCCGAGAGACATCAGGTCGGGGCTGGGGCTCCGGGCGCTCCTGAAGCTCGGCGTGCCGGGGGTCGAGTCTGGCAGTTCGACGCCGGCCCACCAGCTGGCCGGCGTGCCGGGCGTACCCGGCCCCCAGTCCGACGGGACCCCACCTCCCGGGACACCGGGTCCCGGTGTTTGGGGGCCCCGTCGGGGGGAGGCACCGCCGGGCCCCCCAGGCAGGACGTCTCGACGCGCGCTGGCAGGCAGCAGGCACCCACACCCGGCGGCCAGGCAAATCCCGGCCACTGTTCGGAAGTACTCATCCACGGCCGGCACCAGCGCCGCGGCCAGGCGCTTGGGGTGGATCGATCCCGAGCCGGGGGCATCCCGCATGCGGTCCTGTGCCACCTTGGTTGCGTGGCTGATCAGCGCATCAAGGGGGATCCTGCGCCACTCCGGCCGGTCGGAAGGGGACAGCGGCCAGTCGGCAACGGAAATTCGAGAGGGGGGGGGGGTAAGGAAGGCGGAAGGAGGGTCAGAAGCAGGCCCGAGCACCTGGAGTACCAGAGAGAACGAGACACACCCGGACTTGACGCTCAGGGGCTGAATGGCCAAACGGTCGCCCAGATTTGGGGTGACATGCTCGGCCAAGTAGGCGGCGTCAATGACGACCCGCGGAGCCAGTGTCCCGGCAGGGGCGGCCGGCGGCGGGGGGGACATGCTTCACTGGCTTGCCTGGTCTGGTGGTGGTGTGGTGGTGGTCTGGTGGTGGTGTGGTGGTGGTGTGGTGGTGGTGTGGTGGTGGTGTGGTGGTGGTCTGGTGGTGGTCTGGTGGTGTTGCTGCTGCTGCTGCTGCTGCTGCTGCTGCTGCTGCCGTCGCCGCCGCTGCTGTCGTGCCAGCCCAATCGGCAGAGGTGAATCTTAGAAGGAAGCGGAACAGGGAGATTGGGGGGGGGGGAGGCGCGGGTGTGGGTCTGCCGTCGGGTTCAGGAACCGGGTGTGACCTTCCGAAAAGTGGCGATCCGGCAGGCCGACGGGCACATGCGCTGGCGGCGCTTGCCCACGAGCCCCTCCAATAATGGTGCCCCGCGAGCGGGGCACACAGTCGCCCGGGCCTGCAATGGCCCGGTCCCCCCCCCGCCCCCGAAGTGGGCAGTGAGTTGGCACTGATCGGAGACAATCGCGACTGCCGGTGCTCATAACATGCACGGCTCTCCCGCGTCCTCCCTGGCCCTTGTTCCGGCTCCTCGCTCGCAATGTGTGTTCGTGGTGGGGCCAGGGCCTCTTCAGGCGACGGCATCCTGCGGGGATGCTGTCGAGAAAGGCACGGGGCAGGCGCTCTAGCAGTGTGCGTGCGTGTGTGTGTGTGTGTGGCGCTGTACAAGAAGTGGCTGTGTATTGATTCTCAAGGAATAGCCCCCCCTCCGGGACACCCCAGGGAGGATGATCGAGCAGAAGGGGGCGCGCAAGAGGAACGGCTGTGCATGCACGCAAGGAACACCAGGGCGCCGCTCGCCTGTCTCCGCTCCGAATGCATCTTTTCGAGCAGCAGCAGCAGCAGCAGCAGCAGCAGCAGCAACAGCCCCGAAGGCGGCATATGCACGGCGCACGAGAACAAATGCCGAACCAATGGTGGCCGTGCGCGAAGGACGGAGAGAAGGCGGAAGAGAGAGAGAGAGAGAGAGAGAGAGAGAGGAAGGGAGGGCGAGGGATGGCAACGGGAAACGTGACATGCTAGTTGCCGACCGACGACAGGGAATCCGTGGCCGAGGGGCTGGACACCGCCGGCGAGGAGTTGCCAGCCGCGGGGGAGCCCGCGCCGCTGGCCAGCTGGGCCGTCACGCGCAGCGGGGCGGTCAAGGACTCCAGGTAGATGAAGTACTTGTCGGACTCGCGGCGCCGATCCAGCCACCGGGCCTGATGATGGCGGAACACACGCGGGTCGATGGCCTCCTGCACTTTGGGCGGCAGGCCGGTGAACGCGTGCTCCATCGTGAAAAGTGGATCGCCATCGACATCCAGCGACTGGTGGTCGTAGTGGAATCGCAGCGGCTCGGCGCTGCCATTGGCCATCGGGGGGAACAGGGCCGTTGGGGCTTCAAGGAGGCCGGACTCGGCGCTCCCACGCTCGGGCTTGGCCGAGCCGCCGGCCGCCGGCGAGCTCCCCGGCGAATAGGGGCCCGCGGCCACGCCCGGAGCCGGGTCCGACCCCGACGCGGGGGCCGGGTAGATGGCCGAAACGCCGAGAGCCCGGGGACTCGGCAACAGCAGAGCCTCCGGCGCGCTGGACACCGGGATGTCCCCGCCGGCCTCCTTGACCAGGGTACGCCACTGGTCCTCGGCCCGGCGCAAGTGCCCGCGCGCTCCACTGCAGATGGTGGCCAGGTACTTGACCTGGTCCGGCCGGCGCTTGGCATGCGGCGACAGGGTCATCGGCAAAAGCGGCGGATGGTACTGGCCGGCTTCCGACCCCACCGGCGGCGGGAGTGGCTGTGCCGAGTACTGGGCCGCCATGCGGTTCAGGCAGAGGACCCACATGGTGAGGGAGTGCCGATCGGCGGTCTGCCGGAGTGTGGATAGGCCGGATGGGGGGAAGAAGCACGGTCAGCGTCCGGGAGGAAGGCAAAGGGGAGGAGCCTGGGGAGGGGAGGAGAGCCGGGCACGCACATCGAAGTAGTGCACCTGGCCATCGGCAGTGGCAAACTCGAAGATGTGCTCATAGGTCTTGTACTTGATGGGCCGGCTCAAGCTGTGAAGGGTGAGCATCTCGGTGAAGAGGCGCGAGCTCTGTAGGCGCCGGGGGCGAGGCAGCAACAGCAGGGTCAGTGTGCTGGAGACCAATGCGAGCGACCACTGCACTGTGTGCATTTGTCTGCATGAAGTGCGTGTGCGTGTGCGTGTGCGTGTGCGTGTGCGTGTGCGTGTGCGTGTGCGTGTGCGTGTGCGTGTGCGTGTGCGTGGGCGTGGGCGTGGGCGTACCAGATCGCCGGAGTTGTTTTCCTGGATGGTGATCCCATGGGCGCGGAAGATGTATACCACAAAACCGATGACGCGAACAAAGACCGTGCGCCATTGGCGGTTGGCCGCGCGGACCCCCGGGCCCGAGAGGACGGGCTTCATCAAGAGCAGCCCCTCGATGATGGGCGGATCGGAGTACTACGGGACGAGGACCGCATGTGCATGGCCGAGCGTGGTGTCAGAGGGGACGAAAAGGAGGGCAGTCACGGGACATGTCGCGCGTCGTATGGGGACGGGGGGAGGGAGGGCCAACGCACGATCGGGACTTCAGAAATGTTCTCCAGGGCCTTGCGGATGGTAGACTGAAAAAGGGAGAGAGAGAGAGAGAGAGAGAGAAAGACAGAGGGGAAAAAAGAGGGAGGAAGATGGAGCACAAAGGCGGGCAGGGGAAGAGTCAGTCGAGCCAAGCAGGCCACAGGGACACCGAAGAGAAGCAGGGGCCACGCACCTTGCGCGATAGGAGCACCCGCGGCGGAGCGGCCGGGTCCTCCTCCTCCGGCGTCGGGGCACTGAAAGCCGAGAAGAGACTCATGCGCTTGCTGGTGCCTCCGCGCCGGCTTTGCGTCGAGTGGATGGATGACCGATCGTCAGGGACAGCGGCCCCGGCGGCCGCCGCGCCGGACTTCTTGCTCAGGGTCGACTGCGCCGACGAGGGGGACGACGGGGGCGGCGAGTCGCTAACCACCTTGATCTGATTGCTCTTAATGGACTTGTAGAGCTCCTGCAGACAGCCAATACGTGCGGAGGGAGCCGGGGGCGGGTGATGGGGGGAGGGAGGGGAGGACCGAAGGGGACAGGGTAGAGGAAGAGAGTGGACAGCGGTGAGGAGGCGCGACAAGGCGTGGGGGCGCACAGGGCGGTCGGCCAACCCAGCATAGGCACATGGCGAATGGTCGAGGGCAGGGGGATGGCCGGCGACTCGTGGGTAACGCACCTTCAGCATGGACCCCGTGACGCCCTGGATGCCCTGGGACTTCTCCTCGTCGGTGATGGGCCGCGAAAGGAGGTCATCGGTGGACTTCTGTGACCGGCGGTCGGGCATCCGGGACAGGGCTGCCAGCCCGGCCACGCCGGCCTTCTGCGTGGGAGTCGATGACAGACGCAGGGCCACCAGGGTGTTGTCGACAAACTGCCGACTGGTCATCTTCTTGTCGACAATCTTGTTGTGCAGATCGGTATTCAACAGCAGCAGTGAGCTGACCACAGTGTGCACGGTGTCTAGCATTGTTTTCAGGGGGGAGGGAAAGAGCGGAGAAGGGGAGAGGGAGGAGCAACATACACGGTCAGCAAAGAAGACGAGGTGAGCGAGGATGGGTCGGAAGGGAGGGGAAAAAAAGGAGGACGAAAGAAGGAACAAAGGGAGTGGCTGCGCGTACCGGAAGACTGCCAACCCTGGGCCTTTCCGGCCTGCTTGAAATACTGGTATGAGAATGCGGCCATGACACGGTCGATCTCTTGCGACTCTCCGGCCAGGCGGAATTTGCTGAGGAAAAGACTGTGCCCAGCGATGATTGCGAATGTTAGAGGAGAAGCAAGAGAGAGGGAGAGAGGGAGAGAGAGGGAGAGAGGGAGAGAGAGCGAGCGAGAGAGGGAGAGAGGGAGAGAGAGCGAGCGAGAGAGCGAGAGAGTGAGAGGAGCTATACCCGGAGGCCGGGACGAAGTTCCAGGAGGACTGGCAAAAGGGAAAAAGGAAAGAGCAAGACCAGGCCAGAGGATGAGTGAGCATGTTCACGTACCGGAGGGCCTGGTCCAGCGAGAGCGACGAGAAGTCGAAGAACTCCGTGTAGTGCAGCAGCACCAGCGAATTATAGTCCTTCCTGTGAGGAGGAAGAGGGAGGAGAGAGAGAGAGAGAGAGCAGAGGAGGGGCGACAAGAAAGAGGAAAGCACGACCGAAGGGTGTTACACAATCGCCGAGACACGCAGGGGAGGAGGCATAGAGGGGGGGGCGGAACGTACGCCCGGCCGAGGAAGAGACCGATCTCGGTGCGGCTCACCCGGCCCTCCCACATGTCCAGCGCATACGCGTGCGGGTGCTTCACCGGCGCGGTGCTCTGGTGGCGCAGGTACATGTCCATGAGGGTGTCGGAGGCCGGGGAGGCCTCATCGCCAGCGTCCACCGGAATGGCCGGGTCGGCATTGAGCGAGACCCCGAGCGGCTGGTGCCGGTCCTCGGAATCGGACAGCCCAGCATCGGGCTCCTCATCATGCGTGGGGACCGTGGGGACGGAGTAGAGCAGAGCGCGCTTCTTGGCCGACGCGGGCGGCGGAGGCGGCGGGGTCATCTGCTGTCCGAGGCGGGG